TTGCTCCCTGGAGGCTGCTGGAGCAAACACTGGTGAGCAGACAGTCTGATGCTTGCTTCAGCTTCAGAGACTCTTCGCAGCTGAAGTACTGCTGGATCAGAGGACTTGTGCCACATAACCATTTGCATGGCTGCAGTATTATGTTGAGGCCTCATCTTGTCTTGGCAAGAAAACGTGTTGTTTCGGGAGAGTGAGGCAAAGGGTATGTAAAGGGTTTGAGGTAGACAGAAAAGGGAGCTGTGAAGGTCTGTCACTGGCACAGAAGATGGGGACGTGATGGGGAGGTACAGCAGGCATGCCCATGTTTACTGCCGCTGACCCAGCTCAACCCCTTTCTTTTAACAAAAAATAACTGAAAAGAATGGAAACTGGAGTGATTTCTGCACTCTAATAACGAGTGGCAGAATGGGGACTAGAACCGAGGCCAGTGCTCTTGTGGGAGGTCCCCAAGGACACACCTCGAGCCACCGATTAACTTCATGCTATCCTTGCTTTTCCATCCAGGATGGGAAAGGCCTGGAACCACACCAGTATGTTGCAGCTGCTAAGAGAGGGCCAGACATAACAACTGGGCGCCGCCCTGGGTGGCGGCATTCCTCCCAGACACTCTGGACATTGGGAAACCCGCGTCTATTGTGTGATTCCTTGGAGGCATGCAGCCAAGTTTCACCATCAGAAGCAAGAATGAGGAAGCAAGGTAGAAGGGCTTGACCCTAAACCTGGCCACTGAGTGCGAAGGTGATTTAGGAGTGTACAGCATGTGGAATCCAGCCTAAGTCCGAATCCTGTGACCTCAGGCTAGTCCCTTCTGAGACTGTTTCCGTAGATACCTCCCTCAAGGATCACGTACTGTGCCCACAGTAGGCACTCAATACATATCATTAGTCAGATACACCACATTTTCTCTTCCCTCTGGGCTTCTGCCCATGCAGGTTCTTCTATGCTTTTTCTCCACATATATGGCCCAGCCGATTTTCTGGGGGTTGCAACTTTGACCTTGTGTCCTCAGAGAAAGCCCTCTACCACCCTGAGGGGGGTCGGGTGCCCCTCTTCTGGGTGTCCACAGACTCTAAACACAGCTATTACAGCTCTTACCCCTGGACCATGGTCAGCCATCTCCCAGACTAGAGTGAGTTCCTTGAGGGCAAAGGCCACAGATTATTCATCCAGGGACCCTCAGTACCCTGCACTTAGCAGGCCCTCAAAGAAGAAATGCTAGCTCACATGGTAGGTGTATAATGAATTCTGTTCCCTCCTCCTTCATTCACGACCACAGTAAAGAGCTCCAGGAGACAGACAAGCAAACGAAATCCCAGTTCTCACACAGTGTGAAACCACATTGCTAATTTTTTTTTCAAAGTACTGTAATTCTGGTTTAAAAACCAAGTCACTTGCATAGAATTTCAATTTAAACACTGACATCAACTGTAAAAAGAAGGAATCCCCTGAGAGTAAACAGTGCCCTACAGTGAGAACTCACTACCTACACAGCCTGGGTCCCCAACACCTGCTCCCCCAAATTCCATCTGGCTAAGACAGAATGGGTGTTTGTCCAAGTGTTTCGCAGCTTCATTGCATTTTGTGCTAGCAGCAGGCAGGTGAGGAAGTATGATGACTAGGATGCTGTTTTTGAAAGCTTCAGGATCCTGAAAAGGGGAAGAGACAGAGGAGAGCATCTTTCCCGGGGGCTGGGGGAGGGGGGCCTACCCTTCCTATGAGAGTAGAGGCTTGGAGTCACCTGAATGACCTATAACTTCACCTTGTCTTCTAACCTATCTTATTCCCAATTTTATATTCCATCTCATGCTCAAAAAACATTCGAGATGACTGTCATTGTTTCTTCAGGCTTATGTCTGTATCGCGGACTTTTAACAAAGAAAGGACATCCAAGTGGTATGATCTTGGGCAAGTGACTTTCAAGTTTCTTGAGCCTCAGTTCCCTTACCTGTAAAATGGTGATCATGATCAAACTGTGCTTTTTAAATTCCATAATATATGTGGAGAACTTAGCCCAATGCCTGCCACAGAGTAGGTACAGGATAAATGAGAGCTGCTTTTACCATAAGATCCAGAGAATGGCAAGTTCTAAAAGGGGATTTCCAGGAACAAAAGGAAAAAGGACATGGAGTTTCTGGTTATCTGATAGAGAATCCAGAACTCTGCTCGAGGAGGCGATAGCCATGGGGACCTCTGAAATTTCTAGAACATTCGTAATTCTCCTTTTTTTGTCATTTTCTCCTGGTCTTACTTCATTTTGATCAGCAGTTCAATCCTTTACATGAAAAAGGTCCAAGTGCTTATTTAAGGGGATTCATTTTGGGGGTAAAAGAAAGAAACTAAGAGACCAGAGGCTTAGTAAGGGAAAGAACAGCTGGAATGTTTGGGGCCAACAAGAGTGAAGAGAGGGACATTCAGAATGTTGATGGGAGAAGAGGAGGTCCCTGGGGGCTTCATTTTGAGTTCTGCAACCCTTCAGATCTGAGCAGACTGTGTCTCGTTCCTGCCCTGCTGACCCTAGAGCGCCAGCTCACACTGCAGGCATCCCAAAGCACACCAGTTCGGGGAATACTCTGCTCAGACACCATGACCCCACCTGGTGTAACGTGACCACACGTCCAGTTACTGGGGTGTTTAAAGGACACTTGATTCTTTCTGTGACAGTGTGGTTACCCTAAACCACCTAAGACATGACTACAAAGAAGAGAATCCCAGCCTCTGGCCCCAGTCCATACACGAACAAGTCAGGTTGCCTGAATCTGGATCAGAAGGGAAAGCTGCCCTTCAGGGGTCAGAGAGAATTACTACCTGCCTGACAGTCTGTATCCACAGGGCAATGGTTCTCAACCCTGGCTGGGGCATCAGAGTCACTTGGAAAGCTTTAAAAACACAGATGTCCAGGGCCATTCCAGACCTTCGAAGTACCTCAGGAGTGGCACCTGGGAATGTATAGTTTCCATAAGTATCCAAGTGATTGATATGTGAAGCCAAGGTTGAATACAATGCTTCGTGGAAGTATCCTGTTTTGAACTTCTGGGAAAGTATCAGGGTTCTGCACAAGGAGACGAGAAGCTGTCTTTCTATCCTAACTGGCATCTGCAACCAGACCAGTCTGTTCGGCTTTCCCGGCTCCCCACGAGGAGGGAATCAATCAGGGGGCAGCTGCACTCCTCTGCCTAACCTTCCCAGGCCTTTTCTCAGGGTCCCTAAACACTGGAGACGCCTCCCTCATCACCACAAAACTCAATAAAAGGCGCACTTATTACAGAAACCAGATTCAGATTCAACTAACATTTTTGGAGCTCCTATTTTGTGGCAGGTCCTGCATCAGACGCATAAATTATGAGCCTGTGAGACAGGCACTACACTGTTCCCGTTTGGGGTGCATTCCTGGAAAAAGAATGTTCATCAGAGCTTTACCAGCTCATTACAGCACAGTCCTCAGGGAGCTGTCTCCCTGACAAGGTGATTTATTATCTGTGATCAGCATACAATTTGAGGTTTATTGACTGAGGTGTCTTCTCAATATCCTTTTCAATTGTTCTAATGGTGGATGTAGCTAGGTTGAGTGCATGACCATAAAATTATCTGAGGCTTACCCCTTCAGCTATCAAAAACCTAGCTTGTATTATTTTTAAGTAAAAATACAGAATACTTCACAAATTTGCATGTCGTCCTTGCACAGGGATCATGCTAATCTTCTCTGTATCGTTCCAATTTTAGTATATATGCTGCTGAAATGAGCACTCTTGCCTGTATTTTAATCATGAAAATAATCCCTTGTTTGCCTGTCCTTTGGAAAACAAACCATTTGCTGGGAATCAAAGAGTTGTAAACAAGGGACTGCAAGAAAGTATGCAGGTGCTTTCGGGTGGAGAGCATTTGATTTAATGCAGCTGATTAGCACTATGACTATATTGTCTGCATTTTAAAAGATGATGAAACAGAGGCCTAAAAAACCTCAGTAACTTGCCAAACACACACAGCTAGGACAGGGAGGGCAAGGATTTGACCCCAGATCTTCTGATTTCTAGACCCATGCTTTTGCCCTAGCACCACCTTAGTGACCCCACCAGCCCCTTTGAATGAGTATAATCACTTATGTGCAGATTTAAAATCATTGAAAACTCACCTACTGTTTTATCAGCCATATGCAAAAATCATGGATTAAGATCCAATAGAATTTTAGGACATAATCAATAAACGGAACAAGGGCTCAGACGGGCTGAGTGACTTGTCCAAGGTCAAACAGCTACTAAGAGGCTAAGCCTATATTTGACCTTAGGTCTGTATGCCTCCAAAACAGGGGCTCTTTTTAACTAGTTAAAGGCACATACACAGCGCAGTGGAGAGGAAATCACACGACGTAGGACTTAGAAGCCATGGATTCCTGTCTCTGTTCCAATCTTTATTAGCTATATCATTTTGGACAAGTCCTTGCCATCTGTGAAATGGAAACAATGATCTCTGACCTACTTTCTGAGAAGTGAAGGTCCACATGATGTAAAAGTATTCTGAAAATCCCTTCTATAATATAATAGAATGTAGGAACTCACGTAGACCAGTCAAACAGACTTGAGTTCAAAAATTCCGATTCTGCCACTTACTGGCTCCCGTGACCTTGGACAAATAATTTTACCTCTCTTAGGCCTCGATTTTCTCATCTGCAAAATGGGGCTAAATCAAATATCTACCCCAAAAGGCTGCTGTGACGATTAAATGAGCGCATCCATTTACAAAGCGATTGCCTGACACACAGTACACGATTAATAAACGTCAGCCACTGTTACCACTATAGCTGTGCCTCTCCGGTTTTCAACTTCTTCCAAGCACGGACCTTCTGAGCTACCACACGCGCCCTGGGCTTCAGTTTCCGTTCTATTATTCTCTGCCTTCCTCCTCAGGCCCTGTCCCTCTCTTTCTAGTCCCCCTTCGCCACAGCCTGTCTTAAAAACCCTTCAGGAACCCTAGTCCCCCTGCCCCATTTCGGCGCCGTGTCTTACTCGACGACCTTGGCTGGGTCCCCGTGATGCCCATAGACCAGCGCCCGGACCCGGGAGGGCTCGGCAGATGCGGAGAAGGAGGCGGCGGCAGGCCCGCAGCGCCGGGAAGCCAGAAGCAGCACCCGCCTCAACTGGGCCGGGGTTCGCGCCCCTGAGAGCGCGCTGCAGACCCACATGCTCCCTCCAGTCAACTCAGAATCGGTCGCTCCGGGTACGTCATCTTCCAGCGACCGCTCCCCTGAGCCCCGCCTCTCGCCCCGCCCCACGGCTTGACCACGCCCTCATCCTTTTAAAGAGCCGTCCCCTTCCTTCGTGACCCGCGGGGTGGCGCTTGGTGACACTGCCGAGGGAGCGAAAGAGGGATGTAAGGGAGTCGCGGAGATTCTGAGCCTGCCCGAGTTGAACTCCTAACAAGGACCGTCTGAGACTGCCTTAAAGCTGTGTCTACAGCCTGCGATTTGGTGTTTGATTTTGGGGAAGACATTTCCCCTCTCTCGACCTCAGTTTCTCCTCCTCACCGTTTGAGCTCTCACTGTGTCAGGCCCTTTAAGGCATTATCTCATTTAATCTCCGCTGCCTTCTAACAGCATAGGGTGGCAAAGCTTACTCCCTACACGAAGGAGGGTAGATGTAAGCCAATGTGGAGGCAAGAGTACTGGGTTTGGGGTTTTAGAAGATTAAGGTTCAAATCCTAGATCTGCCACTTCTTAGCTTGTCCACCTCGGGCAAGTGACAGAAACTATGAGTCAGCTTTGTCCTCGGTAGGATGGGGCTAATAGACCTCCTTCAAGATTATTGTAAGGATTGGATAAAACGATGGAATACTGTTGTCGTGGACTGGATAGCACACTGTAAAATGCTAAGTGTGCTCAGATATAAGGGAGTGATCACAAGAGGGAGGGCGCCCTCTCAAAATGCTCACAGGGTAGTAAGGGATTGAATGGGACAATGGAAGTGCCTTATAAAAAGGTGTAGCCAGAAGAGTTGCTACATCATATTTTTAGTGGAAGGAAGATATGAGCAGAACTAAAACCCCAGCTGCATGTTAGGGCATGACAGAGGACACTGCTGGAGTCTGAAGAAGACAATGTTCTGGGATGGGGGTGAGGGTGGGAGCTCATGGAGGGGGTGCTGTTGGAGCCAGTCCTGTGACTCAAAATCTTTAATATGTATAAAAACCATCTGAGATCTCATCTCAGACCTCCTGCATTAGAATCTTGGGGAGGGGTCCAGGAATCTACATTTATTGTAAGGTCTCAAGAATATTCTGATGTAGGTGGCCTGGGAAACAAACATTGAGAAATACTGAACTTTTGTGCTTTGAAGGATAAGGAAGAATTTCATTGGATTTTATTGACCCCAAACTTGCCAACTTAGAGCCTTTCCTCTGAAGAAGAAAAGAAAGTATTGTGAAGAAAGGTGCAGGTACTGGCAAACCTGGCTTTGAGTTCTGGCTCTGCCACTGTCCAGCCATTTGATTTTGGACAGGTCACCTGGCCTCTCTGTGTCTCCATTTCCTTATCCTTAAAATGAAGGAAATAATAGTATCTGATTCAAGGCTGTTCTAAGATATTATTCACGTGAAGCATTTAGCACAATGTTTGGCACATGAAAGTATTTGGTAAATGTTATTCAGGGTTATTGTAAAGATTAAATGAGAAATATCACATGTAAAACACCCAGAATGGCTCATAGTACATGCTCAAAAAGTGTTTGCATTTATTTTTATTACTAGAGAAAGTTGGCCCATGGTGGGGAAAAGACTTGGTCACACACACACACACACACACACCCAGTCTTGCCTACCTTCTATTTTCACAGTGATACACAGTCCTACTTCTGTTGGAAGACTCCCTAGGTGACACTGAGCTATTGACATTATCTTCTCTACTGAGTAGTTTCCTCTGAATTCCCTGGACAGCTCAGCCAGGAAGCCTGGAGAATTATCCAGCAGGCCTTCCTCTATGGGGCTGGACTTAGTCCCCTGTCCATCCTGACAGCACTCATTTTTGGTCCAGGGCATCAGCTCTTATTTGAACTGTGTCAACAGCCCTCTTCTAACTGAGACCTCCTTCTTCTCTCTCCCTCCCCAAGCCCTTTTTCTCAGGCTTCCAGAATGATTTTCTTTCCCCAACAAGAAGACCAGATTTTGTCTTTCCCGTGCTTAAAGTCTTTCTGTGACTCCCCATACTCAGGGAGAACCAGAAGCTACTGTTCTTTGTAGAACACCGTGAACTATTGATATATTAAACCTGTAAACAAAACAAAACTATGATTCTGTGCTAATTCTATCATTCTCTCACACTAGTGACACATTCTAATGTCTTCAGGAAAATGTATGGAGGAAAAAGTTTAAAACAACAACAAAATTTCTACTCATTGTAATTAATCTATCTTCTTGCAAATTAGAAAAATATGACTGTGGTTTTAATTCAACAGCAGGACCTTGAGGAATGCCTGGGTTCCCTCAGAGGTACAGTTTGAGAACAACTGATTGACCACGGGTCCAGTTGTCCCAGCCTTGCATTCAAGACCATTTTCACTCTGACTTCCATGTTGTCTTTATCACCTGTTGTTGGACTGTGCACAGCCTATGATCCAACCATGCCTGATACCCACCTTTCCTAGTACTTTGATGTCTCGTGTCTTTATTAAGGCTGCTCCTTCTGCCTGAAATGCTCTCCCCTCCCTTGTCTATCCAGGAAGATCCAGGTTCAGACATTACTTCTTTAATGTTGTTTCCCAACCCCCAGGCTGAGTCAGCCCCTGCTGCCTTTGTGTTTTCTTTGGACTGGTGTTATGGCCTTTAGAACATAGTCTTTTATTTATTTATGTGCCCATTTCCCCCTCCGGGCAAGAGTGGGGCCATGTTTATTGCATCTCCATGACACCAGCACCCAATATGGGGCCTGGCACAGGGTAGGTATCATGAATATTCCATGAGTTGAAAGTAATTGAGTTTCCCCAATGGCCTGGCCCTATCTGTAGTGTCACCTTCTTTTCCCTAGATTTGGGCCAGCCACTCCAGGCCAGGACTGTCCTTTCCCCTTCCCTCTTCTTTCAAGGATTGTAGGAGTTTGTGGTCAAGTGGACCAGAATGTTCTCTTTTCATCTGTCCATCTGTTGCTTGTGCTCTTTTTCCCCTCCATCACAGTCTGTGTCCTGTAATCTTCCCCTGCACAAAGAGCAGAGGGGTGTACAATCAGTCTGGTCTAGGTCTGCACCCTGGGCCCACCATTTACTAGCTGTGTGACCTTGGACAAGAGCCTTATGCTCTGAGTCTCAGTTTCCACATCCCCAAAATGGGACCAATGGTAAACTCTTGCCATGAGGCCCCTGCAAGAGTCTTCCACAAATAGCAGCATCCTTGATGGTTTCTTTTTTTCACTAGATTTTTCTTCTTGAGTTTCCTTTTCTGGGTGGTCCTTTCTGTCTCTTCTCTGCGTATTTGCTATTGCTCTCTCCCTCTAAAATGCAAACTTCGTGAAGGCAAGAACCATGTCTGCATTCATTCATTCACCCATTCAATATTTACTGAGTACTGACTGCATACCAGATACCAAGCAGTGGGATATCAGACAGAGTCCTTGCCTTAGAGCTCATGTGCTAGAGGTGAAGACACATAATGAATACATCATATAGTAGGTACTCTGTTTAAACCTGTGATGACCCCCTCTACCCCCACCGTTTTTCTCCCCGGCTTCTCTAGTATATTACTGTCTCATATACCAGAGAATTTGCTTTTTTTAGTTGTTTATTGTTCTTGTCTTTCCACTGGAATATAAGCTTCATAAGGGAAGGGGTTTTTGTCTGTTTTGTATCTCCACTTTGGCTTAGAGCAATTATTGAACAAATTAATCAGTATTCAGTGTTTGTTGATTTGTTCCAAATGGAAGACAGATCTCAGCTCCTATTCAGTTCAAACCAGATGACCTTATTTCAAATCTTGGCGCTGCCACACATGACGCATCATCTTGGAAAAGTCACTTTCTCTCTCTGTACCTCAGTTTTGTCAACTGTGTAATGGGAATAACAATGGTGAGGATTAAATGAGTCCATGTGGGTAAAGCACTTAGAAGGTGACTCGCCAGGGACGACTAGTTTCTGATAATTGTACAAGGGCTTATCCTGGGTAGAGGCTGAAATAGACTTACCCCGTGTAGCCAGGGAATAGACTAGAACCAATGAGAGTCAGCAAGGAAGGCAGATTTCATGGCATGAAGAGGAAGAACTTTTTAAAAGCTAGCATTGCACGGAAAAATAGCTGAATCCACCATTACAGTTGGAGACTTCAACACCCCTCTGTCAGAAATGCACAAATTCACCAGGCAGAAAATCGGTAAGGACATGGTTGAACTCTACAACACCATCAATCAACTGAACATAAAGGTCATCTAAAGACTACTTTATCCAACAACAGCAGAATACATGTTCTTCCCAAGCTCAAATAGAATATTCACCAAGATAGACCAACTTCTAGGCCATAAACACACCTTAACAAATTTAAAAGAATAGAACTCGTATAGTGATTGCTCTCAGACCACAATGGAATTAAACTAGGAATCAATAACAGAAAGAAAGCTGAAAAATTCCAAAATATTTGGAGGTGAAATAACACACTTCTAAGTAGCATATGGGTCAAAGGAGAAATCTCAAGAAAAATATCAAAATTTTGAATGAAATGGAAACTAAATGAAGATGAAAAGAAAACTTATCAAAATGTGTGGGATGAAGCAAAAGCAGTGCTTAGAGGGAAATTTATAGCACTAAATGCATATATGAGAAAAGAAGAAAGATCTAAAATCAACCATCTAAACTTCTGCCTTAGGAAACTAGAAAAAGAAGAACAAATTAAACCCAAAGGAAGCAAAAATAATAAAAACTAGAGCTGGAATCAGTGAAATGGAAAATAGGAAATCAACAGAGAAAAATCAACCACACCAGAAGCTGGTTCTTTGCAAAGATCAATAAATCGATGAATGTCTAGCCAGACTAAGAAAGGAAGAGCGAGGATGCCAGTTACTAATATCAGAAATGAAAAGGAGGACATCACTACAGATCCGATGGATATTTCAAGGATGATAAAGGAATACTATGAACAATTCTAAAAGCTAGCATTTCCAAAGACCCATCCACCCACTCTTGACAGGGCCCTGTCCTTGGAGGGTATGGTATGGATGCAATTTGAAGGGACCTAGATAGAGAAGTTTCAAGCATTGGA